CCTTTTGTCTCGCGCAAATGACGAACGCCTTTTGTTGTTGTTTTTTAATTTGTCGTCGCCACGCCGCCTGCGAGTCCCCGGGGTAGGCCGGCCCGCGCGGCAGCGCTGCGTGGCGGGCCGGCGTCGCGGCGTCCGCGGGCGCTAAGCTGCGCTGGCGGAGCGCTCCTGCTGGCCGACATGCACACCGCCAGCGCGGCGGCGCTGCCCGGGCGGGCCGGAGCCCCGGCCAGGGCCCCGGCCAGGACGCCGATGTTGTTACCGACTTGCGCATCGCGCATTAAAAGTTGGGAGCGGATATGCAGCGCCATCTAGCGGCTGAGGAACACCGAGACGACGGCGACGACGTCGCGGCCCGGCCCGGCCTGGCTGGCCCCTGATAGTCTCCAAGTCATCAAACGCGGAACGACACAACACATCGCCCGGGCGCCCGCCGCCGAGAATATGAGGAGCAGGGAAAAGAATGTCTGGAAACGATAAACCGGCCAACTTGCAGATTAGATTGCAGCGGGAAGGAGCGAGGCGGTGTGAAAAAGACCGCACCGCTTGGCGTCGCTCTGCGTCGCTTCGCCGCCGACGCGCCAAAGAAGTCAAAAGACGTCTCGAGCGAGTGCGGCCGGGTACTCTTGGCGGTGTAGTGCTGTGGCGCGAGCGCGCGGGTCCACCAAGGGTCCACCCAGCCCGCACCCCTCCTCGGGTCGTCTCACGTTTGACGCAAATTTGACGTAAAAGAATAACAAAAAGTTTGGCCAGATAGACACGCTAACCGCACGCACGCAGCCTCCCCCACGGAACGGACCCGCGGACCGCACACTGATTCCGAAAGTCATCGCTCCGTCTCTCTCGCACCCATGCGGGTCGCCCCATGAGTACGAGAGAGACGGAGCGACGAAAACGACTCTCGGAATCAGTCTTCTGCGGAGGCCGCGATAGTTCGGCGTGCGTGGGAACACTGAGGGAACACGGCGAGGGAGGGGAGGGAAATAAATAAGTTATGCGGACCGACCTAGGCTGCCCTGCGGAAACCCCGGCGCACGGCCTGGACGGACAACGGTTGATTCGCGAGAGGGAGAAAAAATGATGCAATTTTTGTTCGACTGAGCCGGGTCAGGGTCCGCATTCACAAAAATAAATAAATATAAAAGAACGCAATGACGAAACTAAATGTGAAACGATTGACTATGCGACGCGTCGAACTCACGTTGATATTGCCATGAGTTTTGACCCTAAAACTGAAACAGATGTAAAATGGACACAATTTTGATTGATCCCCCACACCCCCGTTCTCTTTTACAAGTTTGTATTGGCGGAAGTGAGGTGAAATTGGAGGGCGCAATGGACTCGTCTCGTCTCCATGCATCACAGCCGGTGTGCATGACAAACCGCGTGCAGGCGGGGCGTGGCGTGGCGTGGCGGGGCGTGGCGGGGCGTCGCGGGGCGTCGCGGGGCGTAGCGGCCCGGCCAATATGCGTTGCCGCTCTGACGATGTTCTCTTTCCCTCACGTGGCCCTAATGGTGAACCGCGCCACTCGGCGCATCACATCAGAAATTCATCTTGGAGGAGGGGGAGGGGGAGGGGCCTGCAGGCGGGCGGCCGCCTGAAAGGCTGACCCGGAGGAAAACCCGCGGACCGTGAACGAATAAAGAAAGTCATCGATACACCAAAAGTCACATTGCGCGCGTGCGCCGCCGCTCTGCCGGGCAGACGCTCGGACGGACGGGCAGCGTGACATGCGTGCAGTGGCTTGCAGTGGCGTGCGTGCGCACGCTCGCCCTCACCTCCTTCCCCCGCGTGTGTCATGCTCCCCCCAAAACGTGAGGACGAACAAAATGCACCGATGAGCACGCTTGTCATATATGGGATTGTCTATGTGTGTGTCTCTGTGTGTGCGTGTGTGTGTGTGGATGCACCGGCCACCATCTCTCTCGCCTGACAGGACACTGCAGTGAGCGCTGCACACACACACACACACACACACACAAACACACACACAGACGCACGCACCACGGTCCGCTACCCCCCGCCAGTCCACCCCACGCCACGCCACGCCACGCCCATGCGGCCTATGATATGATGACTGCTCTTTTCACTTGCGCTAAAAGCCATGCCTGTGACGGGGCATCGTCGGACCGGACGCAGCCGGAGAGGACGACGACGACGGCGAGGAGGATGTCGAGCAGGACGAGGAGGGGCATGGAGGGGATGACGAAGGAGTTTATTCCGCGTAGGTAGTGCCGTGCTGCAATGTATTGCGTCCACTCCATGGAGCACAGCGGCGTAGTGGACCAGCAGGCAGTACAAACAATACACATGAAACAATCAGGACTACCTCGCCCACGATCGCGCGCGGCTACGGATTATCACTAAGCCAAATTGCATTTTACTGCTGGGCCCGGTCCAGGCTAGCCCAGGCTGCAGCCCTGGCCGCGGGCGGCGCGGCGGTGGTGCGGCGCCATGCCAACCTTTGAACGGGTTCCCCGGAACGGACCGGACTTCGGACGCGAGGGGCAGTGTGTTGATCCAGCCTTCTCCACCGTCATCTATCCTGGCGCGGATATCTATGCGAAGGGGGCGTGAGCTGCGGATAGAGGCCACACACACACACACCACACAGACAATAGAGCCATACAGGACAATACAGATCATAACCGTAACCAGACCTAAGTGCCGTAACAGAGCCAAGAGCCGCGAGGGACGCGGGACCTTGACGGTGCCATAAGCGAAAGTTACAGTCGCCCAAACTACGTTCAAACGGCGCTGCGTCTCTCTCGTCCTGCCTCTGGACCTAGTGCAGCGGCCTCCTTTACGGGCCCCTTTTCGGATTGAGTGTTGAGTCGACCTGGCGTGCGGCAACGCCGTGGCCGAGCTGTTTCCGGTTCCGTGGACCGCCACTGTCAAACGTGGCCGCCTTGCAAGGCCATGGTGGTGCTGTCCTCGCCTTTCTCTGTCCCTTCACACACTCGCGCACACACACACACACACACACACGCACACACGCCCCCCGCCGCCCGCCCAGCAACGCAAGCTTGCCGCGCGCGGCCCCCCAAAAATTAGCACCCACCGCCACACCCGGGCCATTTTGACCCAAATACGGCTCATGAATTTTTCATCCCCGGCACTGACCGTCACCATGTCTGGAGCCATGTGCGTCCCGCCCATAACACATATAATGGGGCTCAATCGGAGTGGGGCGTTGGCTCTGGCCGGTCCGCTCGGGATGCGGCCCGCGTTGGATTGACTCGCCGGGGAATTCCGGACCGCCGAACCGCCGGCCGGCTTGTCGACGTTATTGGCGCAGATTTTGGGGGGGCCGTCGGCCGTCGGCCCGACCGGGAGGAGCCGGGACAAAAATGTCGACTGAAGGTGCCTGTTCGTCGGCAACGTCGGCCGCTAGGAACGTCATGTCAGAGTCGACTTCTAATGAAATTCTATTTTATTACGTTTATCTTAACGCTAAACCGCGCGCTCTGTTACACAGACGTGTCGAGCACACTCGCGGAGAAGGTGAAGGTGAAGCAATTCTTTTTGTTCAACGAGTCGTACCTCTGATTTCAGCATGAAGCCATTGCTACCAGGACGTTCAGTCTTTGTTGTTGTTCTGCCTGTTGTCCTCCTCGATGGTGCCGTGGTATATTTTTGGCGCGGTTTTGCCGAGTGGCGCTGCGGTCGTGCAGGGAAGCTCGTATTGGCAGTAATAGCCGCGCCGTGGCTACGCGGCGCTACGCGGCTACGGCCAGCAGTAACATTCAGGGATTTGTCTGGAGCGGCGCGGAACCTCCCTTGTTTCATGAATTTGCCTGGAACATGCCTCGAATCAGATTTCTGTGCCGCCGCCGGTTTACGGACCGAAAAGACGCCGCCCTTTATTTCTGTCATTGCCATGTTGTGTTGTTTTTGTGTTTTTAGGAGAGGGATGAGTTTTTTTTCTGACAGTAAGTCCCCTGCCGCACCGTCAAAGTGAAAAGTTTCTGGCAAAATTTGTTTCGAACTCGAAACCAATTCCATTTTTCTGTTGACAAGAGATTTTCTCGGTTTTTTGAAATTTTGATTATTTTCGTGAACATTCTTGGATTTTAAAGTGTAAAACATTGGGATTTCAGAGGTATTTCATGTCGAGTCCGGCCGCGGCCAGCAGGGAAGAACGACGAACCGACAGCGCGTCGCGGATGCCGTGGACCAGGGCGAGAAGGGCGTGGCGTGGTGTGGCTGGGCGCCGCGCGGCAGAATCCGCGCAAACTGCAGGGACGCGTGCCCGCGCATGCCGACTTGAGATTCGGGCCCTGCCGAGGCGAGGCGAGGCGAGGCTGGGCGAGGCTGGGCGAGGCGGCCCGCGGGTGCGACGGAGACGGACGTGGGGCCGCGGCGGGGCGGCCGCGGGACGAGGACGGCGGATGGCAGAACACTCAGGAAAGATGAGAAAGAGGAGAAGATAATCAGAGCGAGGGGCGCGCCGGGCGTTAAGGAAGAAGGAAGACATTGCCAAAATGACGCCGTTCTCTTATATGCACGCGACGCGGCACGGCGCGGGGGCTGCATGAATTTGGGCGCGCGCAGGTCGCGTTGCGGGCCTCTATGATCAACATTCCTCTTTGCTCTCGTCTCTAGGAATGCCGGTTGGTCCATCAGTTGTCTGCGGGCTGGCCGTGCCGCCGGGATGGCGCAGCTCGGTGCGCCGCCCCACCCCGCCCCGCACCAGCATTTTCGAGATGAAATCAGTTATTCCCAGACTCCAATATACGAACCCCTCGGCGCTACTTTTCCTTTTCTCGTTGGCATTATGATACCCAGAGGGGATTCACTTTTGTTTCGAGGCACCAGGGCGCCGCGCCGCCGTGCCGGCCGTCCGTCCAGGCCCTGGAATTGGGCCGAGGCCGCCAGGCCGCCCGGTTATTGGATCTAGTGACAGCGGCCTTTGTCGTCAGCGCGTCACGGCGCGTCACACGTCATATCACGGTTTGTTTTTGTTTTCCCCCCAGTTTGTCTGACTCTTTCTCTGTTGCAGTCAACTGCAGCGAGATGGCCGACGGGGACAGCGACTCGGAGGAGGCGGAGGCGGCCGCCAAGAAGCACCCCGAGCTCCACGGGGAGGGCCAGCCCGGAGAGTGGCGCCACGACCCAACGAACCTGCCCCTGTCCGACGACCCTGGCCCGCCGCCGACGGAGAGAAGACCTCGCAAAGACCCGGTAACCCGTGTAGCAGCACCCCCCTGACGGCCGCCGTCCAGGTCGACGTCGACGTCGCCGACGCGGTCCTCCGCTCGAGAGGTAAGCGGAGCGTTGGCGGCTTCCGGTCTGGCGCCGCTGGACCGGAAGTAACAGAGAGACGCGGCCAATTAGTGGAATGATTAACAAACGGGCATTCCGTTTCTTTGTCTGCGATTGGCCGCTGGGCCGCGGTCGCTCGGGTCGCCCCACTCGGCCGGCCTCTTCATCCTGGAGCCTTCGAACGCCCCGCCCCGCCCCGCCGTCCCGCCCCGTCGTCTTGATACACCCAATTAAGGACGTACTAAATTGGTATGGTTAGCAGTGGAAATCTCTCTCGTAATAGGATCGTATTTGTCTTGCTGTACCCGGTCCGCTACGCGCCGCCGCTACGCCGTGCGGCTGTAGTGGAGACATCGCGGCCCCGCCTCCCCAGCCGCCCTCGCCAAAAGAGGTGCTGTGCCTTTAGGACCCTCCAGGACCTTTTAGGACCTTTGAGGGGCTGCATCCTTGACTTGGCGCCGCTCAGGGAAGTCCAAACCACGAGCAGCACTCGGCGGGACTCGAACCACCCTCCTGCACCTTGGGAGTCTGGTTGCTTGAGCGCTCGGCTGCGGCTGTTCGAGGACTGCCTTGCGCGCTTCGAGTGCGGCGCGCGTCCGTTGGTGTAATCCGCGTGCGTGGAGTTTGATTTCGGGTCGGGTGGAGTCCGTCGTACATACATCAGGACGGCGAGGACAGGCGGCCGGCTTGTGTGTCCGGCATGGGCCCCCGGGGAGCACTTGCTGGTCTGCCCTCCTCGCCCCGCCCCGCCCGCCCCGCCCCGCCCCGCCCCGCCCCGCCCCGCCCCGCCCCGCCCCGCCGCGCCCCAACGCCCCCGCGCCCCGCCTGCCCGGCCGCGCGTGGCGCCGCCGTCAATTGTTTCTGCTCACTCCTGGAGCCGAAGCCTGGAAGGCTGGAAGGCGCCGGCGGTGCTTCTGGGGGACAATTAGAGGTTAGGGGGCGCCCTCAATCACACACTGGACGTAGTTATAGCGCGCCTCCTCTCGCCGGCCCGGGGCGCCGCGCGGTGGGGAAGTGCACTCTTAAAACCTTACGAAGTATTTTGAGCATACATATAACAAACTAAAATACTTTGTTATACGAAGAAATAGTTCGTAAATTACGAAGTATTTTCTTTGTAAGCTTACGTATGCTCAAAATACTTTGTTATACAAACTACTTTTCTTTGTAAGGCCCAAAATAGTTTGTAAGGTTTTCTCAGTGTGGTGTGCGGTGCGGCCATTTAAATCTGAACATGCAATAAGAAAAATTAACTGCGTGGTCAAAAATTTCACCAAATACTTTGTGTCACTCTTGGTCAGTTACTTTTGTGTCTCTGTTCCTCCCTTGAGGGTCATCGACCCGTAGCCAGTAAGATGACTATTTGTAGCGTGCACTGTGTATCCCGGCGGCCATTTGCGGTAGTCGAATCTGAAATTCCTTTCCCCCTCCTTGCCCCGGCGCCCCCCTAACAGGCGTGTCGCTGGCAGCGCCATCTCTCCTCTCGTCCTGAGCCAGCGGCGGCGGCGATCACTCGCCCCAAACTTTTAATTAACAATTCTCTCAAGAAACATCCATTTTGAAGCTGCAGCGGCCGGCAGCGGCGGCGCAGTGCCCATGACTATTGCTTCCCGTGCGGCCGCCGCCTCGGCCACTTGGACTGCCTGTCGGGAGCGGCTGCTCCAGGGGGCCGTGGCGTGGCTTGCCATGCCGTGGCCTGCCATGCCGTGGCCTGCCGTGCCGTGGCCTGCCATGCCGTGGCCTGCCATGCCGTGGCCTGCCATGCCGTGGCCTGCCGTGGCCTGCCATGCCGTGGCCTGCCGTGGCCTGCCATGCCGTGGCCTGCCGTGGCGCCGTGTCCGCAACGCACTATCCAGACGACACACTCTTGCACGCGGAACCGCCGTCCGTCCGTCCGCCCCGCCATTGTGGGCCATTCTTTTCTCTCTCCGCCCCTCCTTGTTTTGGCCGCCCATTCAAGCCCTTTAATTGGAAAGCGGTCACATTGCGGTCTGTATATTCCCATCCATCTCTCTCGCTCGCTTTCAGGAGTGCGATCCGTCTCTGCCCCGCCCACTCCTTCTTTAATTTGTCGCCTGGCCCCGGCTGCCCCCGGCCCGGCCTGGCCAGCACGGCCTGTGATTGGTCCGTGTGGCCCCGCTGCCCCTCCAATGCGACAAGGTCGTTACAGCGCTGTTAAATACTCTCCATTGACCCAGAAAGCGGCTCGCCGGCCTCGCGGGCCTCGCCTCACGCGGCCCGCTGTCATTAGCATTTCGGGACAATTTTTGTAATTAAATTAGTCCGGCAGTCTCGGTGCGCTCCTTTCATGTCTCGCAGAATTGCCAACTCCTGTGCATCAAGGCGGACCACGTCTCCCAATTTGAGTAATTTGCAACTTTATTTTTTGTTTGTCTCGGACGTCTTCTTCCCTCCTTTTCTTGTTCCGCCCCCTTTTTCGTGTATATCTGTATTTTTCTATTTTTCTCGTCGTCTTGGCGACGATAATTGCATTTCCGGCTCGTGTTTTTTGTCTGATTATTCGCTTCCCTTTGCGGTGTAAATGATAACCGTGATGCTTCTGGACGGCGATCCTACTTCTTATTCGTCTTGGCTCCTCTTAATTTCAATTATTTGGACCTCCTTCCTAATCCGCCTGTACGGCCAGCCGTGCGGACAAGCGGCCGACCAGCGGCCTCTGTCGGCCACACTCTAAGAGTCTTATGGTGAAAATTCTACGAAGTCTGCAGACTCACCATGGGGAAAATTCTCTATATTACGGTGATAAGTACAACTGACTTTTTGAATTTTCCAAGGTAAGTTCCTTGTAGATATTTTGTCGATAAAAAAAAATATTATCCTGTTGGTGCAGCCTCTTAACGAAAGACATTTAGAGTGCAATCCGCGTGGACTGATAATTATCTCCCACCGATTCTCTTAGCATATACCTTTCAAAATAAAATCAGAAGAGAATAGGATGGAATTAAGTTTTATGCCGCGATTTTTTTTTCAGACACAAATCAATCTGGCCACCTCCAAGCTGGCCAGTAAACTCCGGCCGCACCGTTCATCGCGGCGAAAGCGCGCGAAGGCGACCGATGTCGCCCTCTGGCTTATTTACCGCGATATGCCTGGCCATTCTGCTTTTATATTCGAAGACCCTTTTTCTTGTCTCCGTCATAAAATAGAGCGAATAAAACGCCTCTTTCCGCGCTTGGCCGTTTTGATGGCCGAGTGGACGTTTGCTTGTGTGCGGGGGAAAAGTGGCACCGAGTGGGAACGCGGTGGAAGTGGGGCGCAATGGAGTCTTCGGACCCCTTTTTACTTTCGTTTGCTAGATTGCCTTTATTCTTGAGCTGCCTTGCTGCGCGCTCGCTTTCTAATCTGATGGCTGTCGGCGTTTTTGTTTTCATCTCCTGGAACGTGCGCTCCGGATTGAGTGGGTGGCCGCCCAGCCAAGCGCTGCCAACACCGCAGACTCATCGCGAAGAGCGAGTGCGCACAGTGGGCCAGAAGACCGGTGGAGGCGGCCAAAACTCGAGACGCGTTTTGAGCTCCAGAGTCGCTACACTCAACAAAAAATGTCTTGTAAACGCCGTTAATTTATTACCAATGTTTGCTGTTATGCAATTCACGGCGTTTGCTGTGAACTAGTTCACGGCGTTCACTGTGATCTCGGTTACAGTGTTCACTGTGATTTGGCCACAGTACACGCCGTGAATTGGAGCCTGATTTGCAGCACTTCGGTGCTCAGCGGCGTCAAACTCACAGTGTTTACTGTGAACTAGATCACAGTGAACACCGTGAACAAGATCACAGTGAATCGCGTGAGCAGATCACAGTAAACGCTGTGAATTGACCTACAGTGAAAACTGGTAATAAATTAACGGCATTGACAGGACATTTTTGGTAGAGTGTAAATGGGACTCTAATCGAACGTGTGACCCCACCAATGGATTGCTCTCCAAAACGAGGAATCCATTGGTGGGGTCGCACACGCTCGGTTAGTCCCAATTAGCGACTCTGGAGCTCAAAACGCGTCTCGAGTTTTGACCACCTCCACCGGTCTTCTGGCCCACTGTGGTGCGCCGAGCACGGCCGAGCACTGCGAAGCGCGCTGCTTCCAATCTGGAGGTGCGGCCGTGGACCGGGGTATCGCCGGGCGGGCAGGCGGCCGGGCGGGCAGCGCGGCCAAGTCTTCTCTAAACCGATTATTGCACGAATTATTGCTCCGACTAATAGCCTGGCCGATAGGGCCTACACGAGGCTGCCCCCCTCGCCACCTTGGCCGCACGTACACTGGCAAAGCACTGGCCAAACCGCTCCTACACTCTCGGCAGGTGACAGTCGAAGCAAACAGCAGAGAGAGAAAGAGGGGTGATTCGGCGCGAAGGGGCACCGGAAAAAAATGTTTGTAGCCGGACGGGGACGCGAACACCCTCCTAGAAGCCTTGTTTTTCGTCTTGGCACTCTTCCATATCCATTCCTGCCGAGTCACAGGGGTGCTGCGCGGCGGCGCGGCCGAGGCCCCGCGAGGGCGGAGGGCTTCGCAGGGCGGTGCGGGGCGTCGCGGGGCGTCGCGGGGCCGGCCGACGATAAAACCCTTTTGTGAAATACTGGCCCTGGTCTATGAATGCGGAACTACAGGTCCGGGGGCGGTAAAGCATCGGACGCACCTCTCTAAATCTATAGCAGAGAGATGGCGCTATGAGCCGCGCGCCTCGTCGTTCGGCAGGGCGCCAGCGGAGCGAGAGAGAGAGAGAGAGAGAGAGAGAGAGATAACACCGTGTTATTTAATTATTGCACCAGCCGAGCTGCGCGAGCTTGGAGGCAGCGTTACCGCCTCCGCGACGAGCCGCTGAGTAGAGGCGGCAAAGTATCCGCCGGCGAAACACTTCCAATTTTTTTTGTCCAGACGAGGCCGGGCAAATCGCGCGCGTTTTGCAGTGGAGTGCCGCTTGCGCCGCTTGGCCGGGGGACTTGTTATTATTACAAGGTTGAGACGCCGCGGCCACGCAGCA